TTATTCTGTCCATGTGCTTTTGTATTTAAAATAAAATAAAATAAAATACAGTGGGTGCAGACTGTGCGTGGGTACTTGGATGTGGTCAGGGAGAGGCTAACCCCAGCCAGGAGCAGATCCAAGCTGAGTCCATCTCCAAACCCAAGCCACAGGACCTGGATCCGGAGAAAGCAGAGCAAATGAGCATTGCCCCAAATTGCACTGTGCTGACACAACAGCCTCGCAGGAGCTCTTTCAGGTTCCTCTGCCATGACACGTGTGGTGCAACAAGTTTAAACGCCTGGCCTAAGGTCATACAGGAGCAGAGGCGGTGTGAGGGCAGAGGCATCTGACTCAGAGCCCAGCCGCCTTTGAACCACAGCCCTGCTGCTCCAGGCTGAGGGGGTGCCTTCACACACGCAGGGAGACAAGGCAGAGAAAACAAGTTTATCCAAGCTCACATAGCGAGCTGGGATAAATCTGTTGTGCTCAAGCAGACAGAGTTGAGGACTGAAACCCAGAACTCGGAACTAGTCACAACAAACTGCACCCATGCCTCTGGTGGCTCCTGCAAGGCCTTCTCGTCCCCAGCAGCCTGCAAAGCAGAAATGACCTATGGAGTGACTGTCAAAATTAGCTAATTAACATTTGGCAAAAGCTCTGCCACGAGCTGCTCTCCCTTCAGTGGAACAGAAGCAAAGTCTGCTCTGTCCAGGGGTTATAGACTGCTCTTGCAGGGTAGGATTTAATTGCACAAGGACTCATCTCTTGCTGATGTGATCACTGAGGGAAATTTTGACCCACCCTATAGCACATGTATGTGCCTCAGCAGCCCTACTGAGCAAACATGTGGCTGGTGCAGCGAGAGGTGAGTTCAGGCATTTTGGGAATCATCCAGCTCCCACAGAGCAGCTTGAAGAAAGATCTATGCAGAGCTATGCTGAAACACCAAGGGAGGTCATTGCTGCCTGCAGGGCAGCCATGGAAGGCCTGGATGAGCAGTGTGATCTTGGCTGTGGCTAATTGCTGCACCTCCAGAGCATGTCCACAGCTCTCCATGAAGTCATTCCAGCACAGCTGGGAAGCTGATATGACCTGTCCCTCTGAACACGTGCTGGCTTCCACACATGCATGGCAGGAAGGGCCACAGCAGGAGGATTCAAGCAGAGAGCCACAAGCCTATTCATTTCCTAATATCCCTTCAGTTCAGGGAGCTGGACTTGTTCGCAGCGGGGGGGAAGCTGTGGTCTCTGTTCCTCTCAAGACCAGAAACATGCCATTATCATGTGAAACACTTCTCCTTGGGCCAGCTGGTTTTCCCATCTCTGGGAAGGGCTCCTTGCTTTGCAGCATCTCCTTACCACCCCTGTAGGTGACTGTCAGCTGATGGGAGGTGCTGGGCCACAGAAACATCCTGCCTGGAGAGCTGCGTAGCTCTGCACAGCTTCTACTGCTTCCTTGTGGCATCAGTCCTGGAGTCTGTGCTAATGGAAGCACCAAGGCTTGGCTCATAGCAATGTTCCTCCAGAAACAGTGATTTCCCTGGAAGAAAGTAATAATGTTTTAAAAATGTAAGAAGGACAGCATTTTTTAATGCAAACACTTGCTGTCAAGATGGATAACGAGCTATCTGCTGCTCGTTTCCTTCTTTTTTGGGTGGGAGGCAAAGAAGGAGAATTGGACTTTATGCCAAATGGGTGACTGTGGGCAGTGGGTGCTATTCAGTCATTTGCGAGCAGCTTGCAGACATTGGGAGTAAAGGTTCGTTACATCTCTAATTTTTTTCTTCCTTTGGGCAGGTGGCCTAACAGCCCAGCAGCTGATCCTACTTTTTAAATTTAATTTTAATTGAATGCACTGCTAGAGATGCCTTAAATTGACTCTTTTTGTTTAAATTTCCTAAGGGAGTTTGCCCCAAGACCTCTATCCTAGTGATAACTTATTCTGGCCAATGGACCAGCGCGTATTTATTGTATATCTCTCTGTCCCTTCTCTGGCTTCTGCTACCGTGAACACTGCAGTTGCTGATGACTAGAAAATTACTCAAGTGTGAACTGTTTCACTGTCTCTTTCCTCATTAGGCTAGTGAGAAAATGTATCTACGACTCTGTCACACACAACCCTCATTAGGTGTGCAGCACATTGAGATCATTGCCTTTTTTAAAGATGGCTGCAGGAAAATGGCTGTGTAGTTTGATGCTCCTCAGTAATAAGTGGAAGTAGCAAAACTAGGGCTCACTGCACTCTCCTCTGAAATAATTGCATTGTTTGCAGAGCCTGATCAATGGAATGAGCTGCTGCTGCTGGGGAAGTCGGCTGGCAGTGCGCAATCCCATTTCTCACTAAGCAGAGGGGGTAGAAGATGCTCAGGGTGAGAGTAACTCCCTGTGCAAAAGAGATTTAGGACAAGAACACTACCCATATTTGGCATCCGCTTTTCCTTTTGCCTGTTAAACTGGCAAAGGCAGTGTATTTTCTTTTGTGTGTCAGTATCAGCAAATTCAGGTCTATAAGGCGTAGCTGTAGCTGGTGGCAATGAGGGACTGGTGTGTTGTAAGCCTAGTTCCTACCTCGGAGCCATTAGCCAAAGGAGCACTAATCAATATGCACCTGTTTTAGCCATTGCCAGAAGGCTGACTTTAGACAGTAACACTGCCAAATGTTCATGCTGAGTTTCTGCTAGAAAAGATGTGCTAAATGGCTGCAAGCCCTCTAACTAGTGCTTTCTTTTTAGCTTACTTTTCCTAAGCAAAGTGAAGAGTGTCACAACCTTCCACTTTATCACCCTTGAAATCAGTCCATTAACTCCTATGTGCTCTAGAAGGATAGGTAACTTTCACTCCAGGATTTCTTTATCTGAAAAGGGGAAAAAAAAGAGCAGCAGTAGCTACTGATGAACTGCAACATGCATCAACCACCAGAGCAGCTACATAATACTATGTGCAAAAGGGCTAAAGTGTTGGATGGGACCACTGTGTTGGCAGGAACTGCTACTCACTTCACATGGAAGTGTACTCCTAAAAATTACAGTACAGCTGAACCACTTATAAATACATTAAAAATACATTAATGTATTTTTATTGTGATCCCAAGGACCTGAAAGGCAATTTGCACAAAACCTTCTGTACTGAATCTTGGTAGCAATGGATAGGGCAGGGTTTGGTTGCCACACGCACACACACCAGTCTTTGGTTGCCTGGGCTGATGATCCACCTCTGTCCTGCCATGTCAATGTTTGTTCATTAGCATTGGCATAGAGGACCAGTGATGTACTAGAGCTGATTAGGTTCATAGCAGGTGTACATCCCCTGAGGAAAGATGATGAAAAAAACATAGGGCCTTTTTGCTTATTTAAAGTTGATATCAAACTCCACATTAAATTGGATATCAAGTACTTGGCTTGCTCTGCATATATTCTCTTCAATTCCATATACATATGAGTCTTCTCATTATCTGCGCTTACAAAGTCAAAGGCAATTAGCCCAGAAATTGCTAGAAATGCAGAGAAAGTAATGTTTGAATTTTCATTTCCCATAAAGTTCCTATTTCCTATCGTCATTTAAGTGGAACTGTAATTTCTTTTGAAGAACAGAAGACAAATGGAAAAAGAAAGTCCCTCATGGGACTGGAGGCTGAGGAGGACCATTTTCATGAAATAGAGTATTTTCTTCCTAGGCTGGTGAATCAGACATTGTTTGAGAGGCTGAGTCCATACAGGCAGGTAGAAAGACCCAGCCTCTGGGTCAGGACTGCCAGGCTGAAGCGGCCTAGCTCAGGTATTTTTGTTCTTTCTTTCCCCTGGGCAGCTCAAGCTTGGGCTGTGGGCAGCACTTGTTATTTCTATGAGGTAGTCTGGTTTGTCTGCTCAATTATCAGCCTGCAATTTCTCTACAGAGCACTGACAAACTGTGCTCAGCCTGGCTCTGCGTCAGGCTAGCGTGAAGTGGTGCTACAGACAGTAAGGCGTAGGAGCTAAAATTTTCCTCCAAGCCTAGATTCGGAGCTACCTGTTCACAAGCACCTGTGTTTGGCCAGGTGCTGAGTGGATGCTAAGGAACATGTGAGCTCAAGGAAAGGTTCCAACTTGCATTTAAAATGTGATCCAGGTGTAGCCTATGTGAAGTGAGCCATTCCAGTGCTAAAGGAATAGGTGTCCTCACATGAAGAGTCGGCAGGCCAAGAAGGGTTGGCCCTCAACATCCAGTGACTGAGCAGTCATAGGACAGGACAGGGTCTTGGGTTTGCTCCCTTTCTGTCAAATCCAACACCCTTTGGTCAATATGAGAGCTGAAGTTGTGACTGCAGTGACTGGTAAAAGGGACAGCTCTGGGCACCGCTCTCCAGCTCTCATCTCCATCCCTGAAGACCAGACCTATACCCTACACCTCAAACCTGACAGTGCTCCACAGGGCTTGTCCCAGCTTACCAGTCTGAATAACAGGTTCCTCCCACTCTGTGTTAACTTCATAATTGCCTTCAATTTTATGTTAGCAATTAGTTTGCCTTTCCACACATAACTCAGCTTCAGACTTTTCAGAAAAAAAATAATTTACAGCAATATTACTTAGTTAATTCAGCTTGCTGGTTGTGTCTTATTAATGCCTACGTACAAAAGACTGTTTTTTTTTCCTTCATTCTGACAGGGATTCCTGGAGTCTCAATGAGCAATTAGTATAAAATAGCTGTCCTGGGGAGACAGAATTAATAAAATAAAAATCCAAGCCCAAACTTGTGAATCTTCAATGTCTGGAATTTTGCATATTTTTTTATTCATTAAAAGATATATTACTAACTAACAATCTTCCCCAAAATACATGCCAGCTGTTAAATAAAAGACTAATAGCTTTTCCTTAAAGGTTTCACAAGTTAATTTTAATTTTTTTTTTTCAAATAGAAGAATAATGTCATATTCCAGGAGATCAAAGACTATCCTGTTTCACATACAATGCCTCAATATTTGATTCTTCTCCTTTCTCCCAATCCCCCCTTTTATTCTTTTTTATTTTATTTATTTATTTATTTATTTATTTATTTATTTATTTATTTATTTATTGTAGAACAGCATTTTCATAAAGAGGTACCACTTTTGAGAGCATAATTATCACTGGAGTTCCCATTTGGGCCTTCAAAAGACTGTTGGCAGCATCATTTCATCTTCTTTTTGTCGGAGCTTATGTATCGTGAAAAGTATGCAATACCTTCTGCAGTAGGAAAAAAAATAAGTAAGAGAATGCATGAAGACATTACATGTAATGTGGCCCAAACTGGTATTTCACTAATGTGTGTATAACCTGCTTTATAGAACCATATCTTAACCAGGCTTAATTGTTATTGATTAGTTCTGCCCACTGTTCCAATATCAGTCGTTATTGAAATAATCTCCATATCCCTCATTAAATGTGCATCTGTTTCCACGGGAATGCATTTTTAAATAAGAAATGCTATTTGAATATTATTGGTTTTACTGGTTGTTCAGGCACTTGGTGCTGTGGTCGCCCAATCTGTCATAGTTAATCAACTCTCATCTCTTAACACTGGCTGCAGTTATCAATGAGTTGAGGATTAATATTCTGGGCGAAGCAGATGATAAATCATTTGTATATAATTAGTGTACAGCAAGGTTACAGCTGACATGAATTTTTATCTTAATTATGAGAGAAATTTGTTCCATTAATTTAATTTAGTTTGCATGAGTGGCTAGACACCTAACAAAGTTAATCTTACACCTGTCATTACAACATTAAGGAGAGTCTCATTTTCAAGCTGTAGACACAGATACTCTGGCATATAAGGATAATGTTGCTCATTCTGATGTGAAAATAGATGATCGTAGACAGAAGATATAGAGCCTACTCTTTTTAAAGTCTTCCCAGAGGATTTATGTGAGAATATTACAGAGATTCAAATCCTGTTGCCACTGTACTGAGTAGACTAATTTTTCTTCAGTCTCCCTTCTGTACTTCCTCATGAAAAAAAGCTTGCAGTACTTACAAACAAAGGAAGACATTTTTGTCTTATTTTTACAGATATGTATTTTAATTACTTTGACTATGTACATACAGTTAACAGAAGGCATGTGACAATGCCATACACTTGTATGACATGATATCTGCATTAATAGCAATGGATGAGGAAATATGCACTGCCTGCAATCCAGCCTTCAGATTTATGTGAAAAAGAATTATTCATAACTTCATCTTCTACACAAATGGCAATTATGCAGGCATTTCTGAGGTTTCAGCACACTGAGTAAACCTAAATTCTGTGTTAATTATCCAAGCAATTATCAAGTCTGATAAATCATACATGATTGATAGATAAGGTGGGGCTGTTTGGGTAACAGGATATGGTGTTAGTTATTTTGCTGATAATTAACCAAGCACCTAAATGAAAGAAGAACATTTGTGGCATCCCTTATAAAAATGTTTATCTGTATAGATTTGTTGATTATAGTTATTTTATTCTGGTAGGATGACTTTGGAAAAAGAAAAGCCAATACCTGAGTCTTTTTACAGCTAATGAGATGAGACTGAATACAGTGGAGACAGAAATATAACTGAAAATTGCATTCTGCGCTAGCTCAAGTCCAAATACATATTTGTAATACAAGCCAGTCTCCTTCACATTTGCAGCATAAAAATAACCCTTGAACAGAAACATTAATTGAACAGTAACTCAGATTAATGTTTTGTAATATTAGTTCACAATTATTACTCCCAGCTAGGGTCAAGAAGTATATAGTTGGATATTCACAAAGAAATGACTGATTTAAAAACAAAGAGCTCTAATGGAATTCAATAGTGCTTTTCAGTCATTCCAGTTGGCATCTCTATTACCTGAAATGATTCACAGTCCATTATGGGAGCTTCCATGCTAATAGAATGTCTATCTTCTGTAATACAGACACATCAGGGCACTAACTGAGAATCTGTCACAATGAATTTCATCTAGATTTCACTTCATCTCTTCATGGACTGTAAAATTTGCTCTTGTACAATGCCTAAATTTACTGTGGGTAATTGAGAGAGATCTATAGATGCAGCACATGGTAAAAAGAGGCTTTCCAAAGATCTATTGTAAATTGTGCAGATTTGGTTCAGTTGGGAAAAGATTATGAAGTGCTGAACATCAGTCTTTGCTAATTAAATGTTTTTGGTGAGCTGTGAAAATATTGTGAATGGATCACAGTGAACAGGAAAGTGGAAAAAGGCAGCCTGCTTAAAATGTCTCTCTTGCAGCTGGAACAGCAATGAAAAAGCTTTTGAAGTATAAGAAACCCAAAAAAGAGGAAGGCAAATGAGTAAAAGTAGGCCCCATTACCCCTCGCAAGACTTATGGATCATATCAAGTAGACCTATGATATTTTTTATCTGCCTTGTGTTTACATAGTGTAAAGTGGGATATTACCCACTTAATCTGACTTCCTCTAGTCCTTTAGAAAATTGTCCTTAAGCAGTGCAGGTAACTCCATTTTATTTTTGCAACTGATATTATTCATCCTAACTAAAAATGTTGCTGTTAAGTTCTATGTATGGACCATTGATAAAAAAATTAAAATAACGTTTAATGTGTGGATAATTTTTTTTTCCCAGCTGAACACTTACTGCTCTGCACATGAAATAGATATACTGGCCATTTTCAACCTTTTTTTTGTTTTTTTTAATTTTACTTGTTCCTATTAAAAAATAAATGAAATTATTGGTATCCTTACCAATCACAGTCTTTAATATTTGTTGGCCAATTACAAATGTGATATATTCTATAGCTTTTTTCCTAAGCCACAAACTGAATAATAGCATCATGCTCCACTGCAACTGAAGTGATCTCAGCCTTTACATTAGGAGAAAATCAGAATGGTATGACTGCAGTTCATTACTGAAATAGGTAACTGATGAACTGAAAAGACAAAGGGCATTGTTAAATGAAATGTCATTATTAGAGCTGCTCATGTTTAACAAATGTACTGTAAGTTAATTCAGTGGTGTTTTCTCCAAAGTTCTCTGGAGGAGGTTCACCATTCATGCTTATGTTCTTTACATGTTCAACATATTTTTATTTTCCTCAAGGAAACAATGCTAACTAAGCCTTAAATAAACACCAGTTAAACTGTTAGAAAAAAAAAAAAATGTTTCATCAACTTTTATCTCCACCAAGGTTTACCTCCATAATTCACCAAGTGATATCTGAAAGACAAGACTTTAAAAATGTTTTTAAATGTTTATTGATATCTTGTTTGAATAAATGCCTTGTTTTCCTTGAAAGAAACTGTAAGGTAAATTCTGAGTTTCATGAGAAAAAGGTTTAGCCTTTAGGCTCCAATACAGCCAATATGACTATGCAACAAAGCACTTTGGCACGTGTTTAATGTCAGGACCTGAAGTATCTGTTTTAATATGTTGCTGAATTGGGGCTTTAAAACAAAAGCAGAATCTTGGACCTCATATTTTAAGAGCTGTGTAAAAGTGGTGTTCTGATATTAAAGAAAAAACATATCATACTTTCAGCATCTGTGGGAAACTGTTTGCATTGCCCCAGAGGTGATAAAAATAATTTATGGACCTCAGTATTTTTCACAACAAGGAAATGACCTCAGCTTTGGCAATCTGAGGTAGTTAGTGAAGCTTTTCTGCTACATTTATGGATATACTTGAGCTACATATTCTTTGACCTGTATTTTAGATTTATTGGCAGATACATAAGTCACAGTAAATAACCTAAAAAGCAATTGATGCTCCGTGCGTTTTGTGCATGGACTGATTGACAGATTAAGAATGCTGCTGCTTCGCAAGTGACTGAAACATGTGCCCTTGCTTGCTATAAATTTGTCTACTGGGTTGTTATGCACATTTTTTTAACAAAAATTCTAATATAACTGGAAGATTAAAAGCATATTCAGACTATGGTATGTGTAAATATGAGCTTGAAAAGAAAATATGTAGTTATGCATGCTGCTACGATAAGGGCAATCAAACTGAGCAGCCCTGAAGCCCTCTCTTCTCCAAGCAGTCCCACTGGCTTGATTCCTTTCCTAGGAACAGGGCTACGGAGTCCAGCTCTGTGTTGCATTAATGGTCCAAAAGAGGGGCACAAGAAGGGATCCTCTCCTGCTACCATGGTGTTTATGTTCAGCTCAGCAATGTCAATAGCTGAGGACTTCAGACAAAAGTTGTTAATGTCTCAAACAGGTTTTGAAATTAAGATCTAGGCCTTGACTGCCCTATCTTCCTTGAGCATCTTGCATAACTGTAGAGGGCTGTGTAATCCCCGTGGTGTGTGATGGAGGCAGAGTCGTGTTGGGTTTCCCTAGATGGATCAAGCACTGAGCAGTAAGGGAGATAAATATCACATAGGATGGTTTAGCATCTTCTTGACAAGCACAAATCCTGCAAGCATGGTCTTTCATGATACCACTATGGAACTAACACATTAAAGGCATTAAGTAGACATCCCTAGTATCTGTTCAGCCTTTTTTCACTTTAGGCAAGGAATTTAAAAGTTGCAGTCAAACATCTCTCCTGACATCTCCATCGTTTGCTTGATGGAAGCTGGAAAACAAACATCCCCTTCTACCATCCTTCTGCCAGAAGTGAGATTAATTGAAAGTGTGAAGCTGGCCTGAAAAAGTTTTTATCTTAATCATTTTGTTGTTGGGGTTTAAACCAAGTTATTATTAAACCTTTCATGCAGCTTTTGTGTGGTGAAAAAAAATTACATTATAAAAGTTGTAAAGCAACCCATGGTGATATATCCTCATTCTCTCAAATGTAGCACAAGATACTAAATAAATAATAATAAAGAATAAAAGTTTACTCACTTGCAATTGAGCTTCATCCTCATCTGTGCAGATATACATAGATTTTAATTACAGATTTAAGAAAGGGAAGATAGCAGAGACTGTATGTTCTACTGTTTCTCTGACAAAAACCATCACAAACATAATAAATATGACTTGGATTACGAACAGTAATGAATGAATGAACATTTTCTGCTACCTCGATGTACCTAAGGCATCCCACGGGTGATCTGTGCACTGGAAATGAACCTTGCAGGCTGTGAATATGCTCGGAGCTCTCAGCTCTCTGCAGCAACACAAGCCTGCAGGAAAAGCACCGGGGCTCGGTCACTGCCACCCATTTGTTGAACTTCGCTGCCATCTGCTGGTGCACAGGGGAACCTGTCCCAGGGCCGGGAAATGGCCGAGGTGGTGTCACATCGCCTCCAAGGCTCCAGTGCTCTGCAAGGACAACAGGGAAGAAGTATTTGCCCATGAGGTTTATGACCCATGGGACACCAGGCTACTGCTACCGCTCTCGGGAGGTCTTCTGACAGACCTCCCAGGAGATGCTGTGTGCCCACCGAAGTCTTAAAAAGGGCAGTGAATATTAAATAAAAAACAATCCTGGTACAGACTGCTGTGTGATGCCATCCTCTGCACGCTTGTACCCCACCCAGGGCAGCTTTTCACCCCAGCCATGTCTTGTCAAGGCTCCAGCAACACCAGGCTAAGTAAAGGCATTGCTCCCTCTGCTCACTTCCTCTTCTGCATCTTCCTCCCACAAGAGGAAACCTTCCTCAGGGTCCTTTTCCAGCACTATTGCCCTGTCTGCCCTCAAACAGATCCTGAGAATCCCATCGTTTCCAACTAAAAAGAACCTAGAAGAGCTTGAAAAGCAACCAGTAACTCCAGTGTCTCTCACTGTGTGCAATGGAAACATGGCCAATTTTTTAGGCAGAGAGGACCAGCCCAGATGGATCATCAACGCATATCATTCAGCGTGTCAAGTAGTTCCTTCCAGTCCAATTATCACCTGATGCTGGCATTTGGGCTGTATTTAACAAACAGAAGTATCCTCAGGGCTAATTGGGTGCATTCAGAAAAATAAATAAATACATAAATAAATAACCAGGGCTGTATGCAAAGACTGTGACTTCATACAATAGAGTTGTATTATGGAAAACATGTGAAGAGTAAAAAAATATTTTATCACTGCTGAGTGCAATTGGAGATAGGAAGTCTGTAAAAGCAAATGACAATTCTTTGGCTTGATTCAGTACAAAGCAACAGAAATCTTTACTTTGACCTCAGCAGGCTTTGCATGAGACTGTCAGTAAAACTGCTGTGCAAGCTAAAGAGATTCTTGAAGATTAACCTAAATATTGTGTTTAGATAGTTAATCTGATGGCCTTGAAAGTTAAATGATGATATTACATTTACTAGAAATAGCTTAGTTTTCTTCTGCAGTGTCAGGGATATGCTCTTGTCAGAAGCAGGTTACTACTCTAGTATTAACTCTTTCCCCATGGCAACACCTCCAACTCCTTGCTTTTCTGATTTTTTTTTTTTTTAATTACTATAAAGCTTGATAATCAATACAGCTGCAGAAAAAGCAAAATACAGTCTATCTCCCCTTATGCCTTAGCAATAAAATTGCAGTTCCATCCCGATCCCAGAATATCAGCTGCTATCAGAGCTAAGTTATGAACTACAAGGCATTAAAAAATGTAGCTCGATTTTCAGATACTCTGTTAAGTGCAGAGCTGGCAGTTAGAAAAGTAATATTTTGCCTTATAAATTTGGTGAATTTGATAGGGAATTCAGTGCAAAAGCATCAGAACAGAACACCAGCACACCAGTTTCCAAGTGCAACAATAACCTTTGGGGCGACCAGACTTGCATGAGAGTTCTCCAGTGCTGGGTTGCCTGCTAGCACCAGCGAGTATTCTGGTGGACAGACTCAGGTCCCCATCCTTTCTTAAACAGCTCTGGATGAGGCATGGAACAAAATAGTCATCTTCCACCTCTTAAATGAAAGTTAATTGAAAAATTTTATAAAGAATGTGGTCTAGAGCTGAACATGGTCAAAGGCTACAGAGATTCTTTCTTTCTTATTTCTCCATAAAGTGTTTGAAATAATAGTTCTGACTCCAACCCTTTCACAACTCATTTCTTCTTCTTTTTGGTTTCTCCTACGTGAACAGCCAGGCTTCGGCACAGCCACCCAGCATATATTCAGGCAGCCCTTCCCTCTTCCAGAAGCTCTTCAGAACTGTCCTAATGTTGGAAATTCTGCCTCTGCTGGCAAATCCATGGCTTATCACTGGCATTTCTGACATTGCACAGCATGGACAGCCCATTTGCCATTTTATTTTGGAACCCCATTTCACTTCTTACTAAAAGCAGACTTGTTTTTTCTCTCTCTTACAGCTCAGCACAGACCTGTTTTCTGTGAGCATCTCAACACCTTGACCCTCACTAAGAACAGCTGCAACTTTTCTCCTGCTTGTGCTGACTTCTCCACCTCTCGCCGCTCTACAGCATGCTGCCTCACGTCATATACACCTCCAGAAATAGAGGCAGGCGAGTCTTGATGTGACATTCCGATACAGCATATGCAGCTCATTTCAGCCTACTTTCTAAATCAAAAAAAAAAAAAATACAGGTTATTTTCTGCTATACAAATAGAGACTTTGTATAGACAGCTATGGAAGAGAATGACAAAAAAGAAAATGCATTGCCAGATTTCTCTTTAAATCTGCAGTAGAAAGGGAGGTGGGAGAGAACCTAGGCAGAAGAGATGAAGACAGAAGTGTCCTTAAGCTCAGTAGAACAATATAACAAATTTAAAATTTTAACAAATTTTACAAAATTTTAACAAAAGAACAAATTAAGCTGGTCACTTCTGCTCCATGCTGACTGTGCTGAACTGCTGGCTTGCAGCAAGGCTCAGTGCTGCCTGCTCAGCTTCCCACCAGGCCCAGGCTTCCCACAGTGAAAGGAAAAAATTCCTGCTGGATCCATCTGCAGGAATGTGTGGCTTCTTAGGATGGGATTCTACTTTGTAAAAGGTCTGAAAAACAGCAGCACCATGTCTCTGCAGTTACAGTAGTACTAGCCAGGGGTACGGTGCAAAAGGAGCATGACTAAGCTCTGCGAGCAGTTCCAAGAGACAGAAAGCTGGAAGAGGTGATTATATTCCCTACACAGAGGCTGATTTAGGAGATAAGCGCTAGTTGCACATCTATTTCTTATACTAAGCAAAAGTAGCACGGATCCCAAGTAAGAGGGCAGCAGTAATGGGAAGCAGAGCTTGCTGGAGGCAGCTTTTAATGCTTGCTTTGTGAATGAGCCATGTTTTGAATTGCCATTTGGACCAGACTAGACTGGACAGCCTCCAACATAGCCCAACTGTTAGTGTGTCTGTAGGAATGTTTTTCCGAGTTGCAAAGTCACGGAAGTTACAAGGCATTCCCTTTCCATCTGTTTCTAGGAGTAGTCACTGATAAGAGGGCATGCTTTGGGGATGCACGGTATAACTCCAAACATATTACCTCCAGCTTTTCAAACTCACAAAAAAATGAACTGCTGGAGACAGCAGAGAAATTGCTAGGAGAATTCTACAACAAAAAGACCTCATTAGTTCTGAAGTACAAAAAATAAAAATAAATTTTTTAAAAAATCTAACACATTCACTGGAGTCAATCAAACTGCTGCTTATGAGTTGACTGGTAAGAAAAATGCTAAAAATCTTAGAGGTAAATCTTTGTCCTAAGTGGCCCTGCTTAAAAGATGTGAGGCTGTGTAATAAGGCATTGCCAGTTCTCCCTATTTTTGTTATGGGCTCTGCAATATTCAGTGTTTGTCTAAAGCCCAGCTCCTGGAATCAAGAGATTAAGTGAAAAGTCTCTGTTTTAATTTAAAAACAAACAAGAAAGGTTTTCTTCATTTTGTCATTGATGGAAAAAGAAAAGAGAAGAGAAGAATAGAAAAGAGAGAAGAGGAGAGGGGAGAGGAGGGAAGCAGAGGAGAGGAGAGGAAAGGAAGCTCTCCAAGGGCTCAAAAGCCAAAAAGCAGATAGAAAAGCCTTCATATTGATATATAATTTAGATATATTAAATCACCTGATTAAAGTCAATTACGTTATTTATGAGATTGAATTTAAGTCAATTACATTATTTATGGAGATTGAATTTTTAATGTTCATTGTTTAGTAACACTGACTATGCCATATCCATGAGGCATCAGGTTTCTTTATTAAATAACCCATCCTTTAATCAGCAGCAAAAAAGCTTCAGAGAGATCCACCCTCAAGCCAGCTGATTCCTTTCTGATATCACTGGTGAAGGAAAAATAGCAGGTAGCACTGATAGCAGCTGCTACCTGTATGCCTGTGACTAGGCAGGAGAGAATATGAAGCATGCATCCACAGCTGTTTCCAAATCGACCTGCCACATGACTGCCATTAGATGCACAGCACGATGGCAACGCTGCCCTGTGGCATGTAGAAAAGGAAATAATGAAATCATGCCTCATGTGGGAGCTTGCAGAGCTGTTGAAGAGGGATCTTCCCCTTCTGGCATGTGACCGCTGGTGTGACTGAATCACAAATGTCTGAGCTAAAAGGAAGAGCTTCTGCTGAAGCTGACCCTCAGCTGCAAGCAGTGCGTGCCTCTCTGGCTGCAGTACGCACGTGGTCTTGCCATTAGGTGGGACTGTGAATGAGCATAGGCTGCTTACTCTCTCTGCATGAGACAGCTTCTTCCAGGCTTCAGAGGCAGCTGAATGTAAGAACTTTCACTGTCTATGGAACCCTACTAGGTGGATTTTTAACAACTGAGCTAGAACCTGGGTCTTCTGGGCTCGGCCCTCTCTTGCTTTTTATATTTGAATTTTGTCCTCTATGAATTGGCAGCTAAGGCTTTTGGAGCTGTAATTTTTTTCTTCCCCACCCTTTTGGAAACTGATGGACCTGATCTCTAACTTATTTTTTAATAAAATGATTTTTCCCCAACTCATCAACTGCTTCAACCTTCTTCAGTATTCCTCCCTGCACAAAACAGTAGGTTTACCAATTGGGTGTCTCTGCCGCAGCCTGATCGACACTGAAACAAGGTTGATATTTTTAGGAGTCATCACAGGCCGGAGATTCATCATCCCACTGATGTGAGTGGTGGGAGGAAGCAAGGCGTATCACTTCTCTTTTGGGATAACTGCCATATGCTATACACAGACTTCCTCAGACATGCGGCACAGTTTTATGCCAGGTGACATTCTGATGATAATCCTTACACTTTGGAGAGGATAATGCTTTACTATCTTATTAAGTGAACGATTAGATTAATATTATGTGGATCAGGATTATGTGATAAATTAAAAAATAACTTGGTAATTATGTGAGCATGACTTTTTCATGAATTATATGCTTAGCACTCCTGCCTAACAGTTAAGAATTTCCATGGTTTCCACATTCTTGACCTTTATCTAATTTTTGGCAAGATTCCCTGATCTTTAGGGGTTTTGTAAAGCTTTTGAAGTATGAGAGAGTTAGGCTGCACAAACCAAAGCCTTATAAAACCAGTTCTTTGCAGACTAGAATTCCAGAAAGTGTTTTCTAAGCTTAGCATAATTACTAATTGCTTTTATTGATTTCTAACTAAATTCACTTTAATTTGACCTTGAACTTAAAGGAAATGAGGGTGATCATCATTGTGAAAAAGAATATATTTAGGGAAAAAAAAAAAAAGTATTTAATTTCTTAACTTCCAGGTTCAGTTTGTGCTGAAATTAGCTATGATTTGCAAATAATAGTCAGGTTACGATCCGTGCTTTTCCCCTACCTCTGAATATCTAGAATGGCAAAAGTTAATTCATTTTTCGTAATAATCACTTCTGTGGAAACAGAAAATCTTTGTAAAGACAGTTAAGCCAAGCTTCTTGAATACTGAAGGAAAAAAAAAATGCTTGGATCACACACAGAAAATCCTTGAAATGTCTGGTGCAATAAAACTTGGTACCACATTTCATGGGGCCTATAAAATCTGCTCCAAAGCCACCTAAAAAATGGCTCAGAACAACTCAGAGAACGCTTGATTTAAATGATGAGAACTTCTTGTGATTTAATGGAGAGAAGAGATACGGTCACCATCAGCTTAGATTTTTTTTAGCATGCTCCATCTTGTACTCCTTATGCATAATTGAATAATGTATTAAAGCATATTAAACTAGTGAGACAGGCTTTCCAAAATACAAGCTTTAATCGAACACTACAAATATTTCCTAATAGCAGAAGAACATGGTGTTGCGCCTGGTGTCACCAGATGGTGCTCTTCCACCATTTGTCAAATTGTTTGCCTTCGTGTAAGCGAGTTTTGACTCTTAAAAATGTGTTGTTCTAATGTCAGTTTTGGATTGTGCCAGAATCTGCTTGGAAGTAGTTTGAAGATGGGAGCAATGGAGTGAAGTTTGCTTTTCATTTAGGACTCAATTGCTGTCTCCTAAAAGACATTGCTCTGTGGGACTGCTTCATTTCAGAATGCATACATGTACAAGTTAATCAACTTACATCTACCCAGATGCTAAATAGCTCATTTCTTCTGCAGGGAAGCTGTGTTGTAATATAGCTTACAGATGGCGCTGGATATCTTAAAGGTGTGCTATTAGTGTCACAATGAGCTAATAGTATCAGAAGAAGATGGAGGATTTGTTAATGTTTTTGATCTGTTTTTCTCACCAGAAAAGGTTGTTTTAGAAGCCAATAAATTGAAATAATTCTCAATACAATGTTTGTAGTTCACATCAAAGGAAAAGTTCTATTTATATGAATAAAGCAGGAATCAGGTAAGAAGTGGGACTGTCTTGTTTGGCACCTCAGAAGCCTTTCCGCTCAGCCTTCAGCCTGTTTTCATTTTTGCTTAACTCTGTTCAAGGCTGCACTTCAAGTGTTGGCCTTGCATCTCTACTTTCTTGTCTTTTCTACTGCTACATTGCTGATATTTTCTCTTGCTCATCTTACTACTTCTCTCTTTTCAATTGTCTTTCACAAAAACTGACATGGAAAAAGAAAAGCTGCAGAAACTCCTCCACCTTAGACTGTCTTTCTCTTGGCAGATATGTGCACCTATGAGGTCTGCTACTGTTCCAGATCATCTGGCTGCACAGGAGAACTTAATTGCTTAATTAGTCATTTTTATAACTATTTTAAGGGTAGGATGTGCCATACTATTATGACACATAGAAGGTGAAGTGAAAATATACAACTCTGCGCCTTTGTAAAGATTTGTTGAAGACAGTCAGTGATCCAACAAACTGTATTCTTTTGTTCTTTGAACACCAAAAACATCTTAGAGCTTGATTCGATTTGGAAAAGTTTTACCTTTTAAAAGCATAATATAAGTTCTGCTTTTTGTTTTCCAACAATTCCAAATCAGATTTGCTCAGTCTAAATATAAAAATGAAAGAAAATGTTTCTCCCCGGCGCTAGCTTCACAGACACAGCTGTGATCTGACTGAAATTTAATATCCTGGCCCAAATCGAGAGCTGCGTGACGCACTTACAATGCAGTTGTTCTCATTTGCTTTGTACCTTTTCAGGTAAGGACTCCATGACTCAGACTTAATGAGCTGTTCCGTGGATGATACATGAGTCAGAAAAAAACCCACTGCATTCTCCCCTAGATGCATCTCTCCCAACAGTAACAGCTACAGACGTCCTGAGACTTTCAAAAGAGATGTGTAACAGCATTATCCTGAACAAGCTTCACTACGGATAATTGCTCCGTGTTGGTCCGCACTGTGCCTCTCCTTGCCTGGACTTTGCAATGCGTACCCATGTAGAACCAAAGCTGTCCCTGTGGTACCCGTCCTCCCCGTGAGACAGAAAAGCCCATGTGCCATCACAACTCTGGAGAGCAAGGCAGAAAGGAAGGTGAAAGATGTAAACCGAGTGATTTGTTGCTTTTCAGTGCATCTTTTCTGCCGGCCTGCATGTGTTCTGGGCTTCTAGCAGGAATCTCCATGAATCTCCCTCATTAACTCCAATTTCTTCTTGGCAGCTCCTACTCCACTGTCAGAAATGTCCTGGATGAGAACTGCAATGATTGTTTGAAGGATGTTGTATTGACAGTTTTTAGATCCTTAATATAAATTAATCCAGACTAATTAACATTAGAGGAAAGAGATTATTAGGGCCAGAAGAGGCTTCTGAATACATTTCTCTCCCTTGCACCACTATGAAAACTACACCCCTGTGTACCAGTTATGAAAACTACTTTTGGTTTCCACGAGGATGTGGTCCATGGAAGGGGACTCCTTGGTAGCCTGATATTCAAGGTGGGCCCAGTAGGCACTCTGAAAAGGGAGTTTCTTATAAAGTTTCTCTAAAATCAAAAAACCCAAAATGACTAGTTGTTCAAATATTCTGACCATAGTCTTTGAGTGGTGTGACTGAAATCATGATACTGCAAAAGAGGATTCTGGTAAAACCTTTCCTATTAATCAGATCTTCATACTATTATCTCACTCTCTAGCTAGACCACTATGAGAGAGGTTTTACAGGTGAAACTGTAGAGAGCATCAGCCACATGTTTTGCCAACTGTAGCCTACATAGTACTTGAATGAGTGCTTTTATTATTATTATTACTAATAATAATAATTCTTACATTTTTATTATTTTTTTTTCTTACCAAGAACATCAAGATTTTCACCATTGGACTGTCTTGACCTCCACAAATTTCACAGGACATAAAATTTTTCCTGCTCCACCTACTTAGAAACCAAACTGTTGCGTGGCCCTTTCCTAACTACTATCACCAAAAAGGTGACTGCGAACAGGAGCTTCTTCCATTTTCTCATCCATTACTTTCATCTCTCTTTTTTTTTTTTGCATATATTTTCCCTGGATTTGCTTGGGATAAATGAACAGCTTAGTAACTGAGCTAAAATGTTCATGCTAATATTGCCAATCTTAATGAAAGAGTATTAAAAATGACACACATCATTTTCAAGAAAATTTTCTTGCTGTCTCTCTGTATGTTTTAAACTATTAAATGCTGGGAATAGGAATTATTCAGAGGAGAGACTGAATAGGACCTTGGTTAAACTGCGCCTTCTAAATGTCACCAACAGATGCAAGGGTAGGCATGTTTAAAACATCACTATTTAATGTCAGCTGTGACTGCTGAAAGGGCACCATACTTTACAAAACATATCAGCCTGTCTGATGGGATGCAATGGTCTGCTGCAGCTTCTAACACAATGGCTACTGTAACAGGTCTGTGACTTTTTCATTTCACAGTGCGCAGCATCTCACTGCCACAGATGATAATTGGGAATTTGCAATTGCCTACCAAATGGCCCCTCATGCCTATTACACTCAAGCAATAGGTGAAGGGGGACTGAACAACTACAAGGAGTTGGGCTACAACCAAGACAACAAAGAAGGCAGTAAATGCATATAGGGGAAGATACTGCTGCTGTGCCTGGCAGTCTTGCTAATTCCAGAAATCTAGATTAAAGCTTTCATTGCAGGAATCATTTCACTGAGGATCAGGATGAAGGTCATTGGTGTGCTGGAGCTGCCAGGCACCAACATGGTCTGCAAACAGAGCTCATCCAAGAACTGAGCCACAGAAAACCGGGCAAAAAATTGATACTGGCATCAGAAGGCTTGGGTTCAGTCCCCCACAGTTGCCTTCAGCTTCTCCTGAAATTAGGTACACAACTGAGAAGATGCAATCATGACATTATTGAGGTCCATAGTCCAGGGAGACGACTTGGATTTTACTCCAAGATATGTCCATGACAGTTTATTTATGTCATATATAAAAGAACATTGTAGCCCATCCAAAGGACCCTATACCAAAGGACCATTATGCAGGGAGTTATTTTATTGTATTTTATCTATCATGCAGAACTTACAAAAAAAAAAAAAAAGTCTTATCATAGAGACCATTGGAAAATTACCTAAGCCTATCTGATTATTTATCTAACTTCACCTGCCTAAAGATGAGTGGAGCCCTCACTGAGGGCTGTCACTATTCTACCTCATCTTTTAATTCTTGCTATGACAAAAAGGAAGTATGTGCTGAAAGATACAGTGAAACCTGACTGCTACATTCAGACTTGATGACCAAGTCTGTTGCTGCCAGAAATCCAGGCTGAACAGCAAAATAAAGCTGGTGGTTATAAAAAGTGAGGAAACTCTTTAGTTCAGCTTCATGGGGTCAAGATGAATGAAACTGAAAAATCAAGACAGTATTGTTCAAAGCAGCTGCACCAAGAGCCAGAATGTGGCTGACCTTCACAGATCAAAAAAGAGCAGGGAAGGGGAAAACTACGACTAGAACTGAACCTCCTACATATTTGCAAGTACAAAATCTAGAGATCTGAGGGAAGGGAGGTTTTCCTTTTTACACTGTATCCCTCTTGGGACTTTTTTAAAACCTAATTGGTATTTAGAAGATTGATTATCTGAATGTCATAGGGGACAATGACTCTGAATAATCAGGTGGATTTGCATCACAATTAGGTATCAGAAAGCAAAGCTTCTGTAGACTATTTTATTGAGTTTCAAGTAATCAAAGTTAAGTTGTAATGACAATAGAGATGCATTTTGTATTTTCATGCCTAGCCATGTATCAGGCGTAGGAAAATTTCAGCCTCCACTGCAAAGGTGAAAAATGTTTCCAGTCCTCATGATCACATAAATAAAGAGCAAACTAAAAGAAGTATATCACTGTAATCAGCTTTGTGATGTTGGGTATCAATGCATGAGTTTTAAAGTCTATAGGACTTCGTCAGCCATCTGCCTCCTTTTCTTTACTGTGCTTCAAAAAGCCAGTAAAACAGTAAGTTTTCCAGAGTAGGTTTTATCCCTCCCTTCTCTGATATGCAGTTAGTACTTAAGCCTCTAGTTCATGCTGTCTTCTGCTTTTTATTTATCCTTTCCCTTTAACATGCTTCTTTGGAAAGGAATTTTGTGACAGTATCATGGCTCAAAAATCTTGTTTCTAAGTTGATGCTTCTTTTCAGTAGTTGTACTACAATCTGTGTAGGCCAATGCCTTGAAAGGTCCCATCCATCCCAAACACTGCTTCCATTCAACTCTTCGTCTTGTCCCTCTGCTTTGTCTCAATCTTTCTCTCCATGACAAACAAATTAGAGCCTTACAGTTCTCTCTGAGTAGAAAGCAGACAAAAAGCAGAAAGCATGTATTGCTCTGGTGAGCATGTTAGCCTCTGGGGCTGCAAAACAGTTTTCTGCAACTCTAATTAAGACATGGCCTGTGGTTATACCAGGATGCAGGCTGAGCCAGTCTGGCATATTTTTGCTTTTATTATTATTGTTTTGATCACTCTGTCACAGAAGCAGTCAGTATGGACTTGCTTGTGTATGCTCTGCTGCCCTCCAACGGATGGAAAAGATGCTCTCACATGGCTTTTTTTGTTCCTTCACCTCCCTGAGATGTCTCTAGTTGCAGCCTAATACAGAATTTATTTCTGATAATGGTCTGTGTATGGCAAAGAGCCTAGAAACTGAACACCAGGGTAAATTTGAAGAGAGAAATACCATCAGGTATTTCTGAGGCCATAGTCAACAAGAGAAGCTACCCTGCCTCCAAGCTGTGGACTAGTTTACTTGTGGGCTGTTATCACCCTGCAAATCCTTGTGTATCCACCTAACTTTACTCATGAGTCCAAAGTGCGGGCTGGGTGTTAGGAATTGGTGTCTGAAAGCAGCTTTCCAGCTCCTGGCCCTGCCAATGCTCTTAGTGCTACTGCTGGGCGACGGGACGCCTGGCTTGGGCAGATCTAGTGCTTGCAGATCCACTTCTGAGCTTCTAATTTCATCCACTGGACCTGCCAAAGGAATATACCAGAGGAATATGTATTCCAAAGGAATATCCAGCAGCCAAGGTGGTCCGAACCCATGCATGGGCCCCAGATGAGCCCCATGCTCTGTGGACAGTCGCTGCAGAGGCAGCACCAACCTAAGAAGAGTTCCTGAGGAGGAAGACCCATGCGCAGGCCAGAAAATATTTATTTATAACAGCCCGCCGCGGCTGCTACTTCCCTGACCACCACCAGGCTACAAATGAGGGGTGGAACCGCCTAGCAGGGCACGAGGCGTCTCTCAGATCACACCTCTCAGCAAGCTGCCAGACCGCCTCCTTTCAAAAATAAGAATTAAGGGGGAAATACAAAATAAATAAAAAAAAGAATAAACTCGATTCAAACAGCGGTGCCAGGGACGTGAGGCGATCACCTCAGCCCGCCGCGGGCACGGGGGCACCCGGGGGCGCCCCCAGGGGCACTGCGGGCGGGGGGGGGGGGGCAGGGGCGGGGCGGCGCCGCGGCGGTTGCGCTCCGAGCGGTCACATGAGGCGCCGGGGAGCCGCGTAGCCCCCGCCCTCTTTCCCCCACATTTCCCCCCCCCACCCTCCCCTCTCGGCCGCGAATGGCACGGCCCGGATGCGCTTGCACGCAAGGAGGGTGCGGGCGAACCATTGAGCGGGGGCGGGGGGACCCGGCAGCTGCCGGCTGGGAACACCCCGTGCTCTCGGGCGTTTGAGGGGAGGGGTGGGGGGGGGAGGAGGAGGAGAGTGGACGTGACAGGCGGAGCGGCCGGACACCGGAGGGCCATGGTCGGCCCCCGGGGACAGGAGAGCCAGGGCCCCCAGCAGGTACCGTAGCAGCTCCCTTCCAGCCCTTGCCCCGCCGCTGTGAGGCCGGCACCGGCCGCGGGTGGGCCCGGCCCCGCGCCCTCCCTGCCCCTGACCCCATGAGGGGGTCCCGGGGGGCGTGTGGGGGTGCCGGGCTGCGCCCTGTGAGGGGCTTGGCAGGCGTTAACGGGCTCCGGGGAAGGGCGAAGCGGCCCCTCTGGGGTTATTTTTCCCCCTTTCGTTTCCCTCAGAGGGTAAATGGGGGGGGCTGTGAGGTGGGAGCCCCCTCAGGACTGTTGGCCAGCGCTGGCCTTGGGCTGAGAGCTTGGGTGCGCTGCGCCTCTGGTAAGGCACGAATATTCTGGTAGCTGGGGGGATTCAGCCTATGCCACGGCGAAAAGGCACTTCACGAGAGTGTGCTGGTAAAGCTGTAGGGCATTGGAACTATCCAGGCTACTCATCTAGGAAAAAAAAAAATAAACCACCGAAATCTAATTTAGTTTTTGTTACCGCCTTCCTTTGAGTTTGCTTGAAATTGCATTAGTTGAAAGGTGGAAATCCACAAAAAAAAATATCTACCTGTTTTTGTAAAAATATTACAGAAGTGCTGATGTGACTGTATTGTTTTGTGAACCCCGAAATCGAAAGAGATGTGCAAAACAGAGAATAAATGAGCTGTTGTATGGCCACAGGAGCAAAAACTATCAAGTGTGAGGCAAGCTGTGGACCTGGAGTTTGAACAGCAAAAGCAGATTAAAGTATTTAAATGTGTGGAGAAAAGAAAGAAAAGTGATATTTAATCCATGCAGAAATGCGTTACG